ATGATCTTAAATATCGTAATTAGCTCACCCTTCAATCATATATTCTCAAGTGAATAAAGGTCTGGGCTATGCAAACTGTCCTCATTGTTTAACCCTTTCACTTTGTTTTATTCTGGTGAATGTCATAGAGTATTACAGCACAGGCAGAGGCCCTTCAGTTCATCGTCCATGCTGGTCATCATGCACATTTTTTTTTCTAATCCCATTTCCCAGCAATTGGCCCACGTGTTTAAATGAGTCCTATTTTAAGTGAGGAGAGTAGACAACTTTAATTACACCATGAAATTTTCAGTAAAACTCAGTAGGTCTGGCAGTATCTTTGGAAAGAAACCAGAGTTAATGTTGGGTTTGATGAACAGCCACTGGACTCAAACTGTAACTCTGCTTTCTTCCTCCAGAAGCTGCCAGACCTGCTGAGTTTCTCCAGTAATTTCTGTCTTTGTTTCAGGTGTCCAGCATCCACGGTTTTTGTTTTATTTTATTATACCATATCTAGTAGCCTATTAGGGATCAAATGGAAACACTAGTTACTGTCATCAACTCATTACATGCATCACAAGGCTTCTGGATGTTCTCTCAAACCTTGGTTTGGTGGGAAATTACAGGCCATTTGATTTGATTCGATTTATTATTGTCACATGTACCTAGGTACAGGGAAAAGTTTTGTTTTGTGTGCAGTACAGGCAGATCATACCTTACAAAGATCATAGGGTAATTGAACAGAGCTGGGAACACAAAGTTACAGCTACAAAGAAGGTGAACAAAGAACAAGATCAACTTTAGATTTGAAATTTGAGAGGTCCATTCAGTAGTTTAATACTAGCAGGGAAGAAGCTGTTTGTGAACCTGTTGGTATGTGTGTTTAAGCTTTTGTATCTTCTGCCTGACGGAAAAGGTTGCAAGAGGGGGCTTCGATGATGTTGGTTGCCTTCCCAAGGCAGTGAGAAGTGCAGATGGAGTCAATGGATGGATTTGGCTTGCGTGATGGACTGGGCTGTGTCCACAACCCTGTGGTTTCTTGCGGTCCTGGGCAGAGCAGTTGCCGTACCAAGCTGTGATGCATCCAGATGGAATGCTTTCTATGGTGCATCAATAAAAGTTGGCTAGGGTCTTTATGGACATACCACAAATATACAAAACATACCTATCCTTCACAATAAATGCTGCTTCCACTGTGTCGAAGTTTACAGCAGAATTGGACCTGACAATATCCTTTAATAATGAGTTAGTGCCGTAAAATTCACATTCTTCCAGCTACTGTTTGTAGCCTAGAGAAGTGAAAATGCACCGATGGCACCAAACACAAACCACTGCTCATCTCATGACGGCTGCAAGTCTCTGATCTAAGGAATGCAGGACTGAGGACGCATGATCCATTCAGCTCTTGGAGCCTGTTCTTTCATTCAATAAGATCATTGCTGACCTGGCTGCTAGTCGGAAACCTTAGACACATCCTCCTTGTCTAAAAACAATTTAACAGCCTTGAAAAAATTTTAGGACACAAACTCCAATACATTCTTGGGAAACAAATTATATACTCTACTGAGCTAATGAAAGAAAACAAAATCTCATGTGACTTGAAAAGCAGATAACTTATTCACACAATGTGTCCCCCAGTTCTAGTTGCCCTTACAAGAGGTAACATTCTCTGGGCATTCAGTGCCCCATTATCGAACAAAGAGCCAAACGATACAGTAGGACTGGTGACCAAAATCTTGGTCAATAAAGTTTCTTTGTTCCTTCTCTCAGCTCCCCACAAAGGATGGTCTTAAAGGATAGATGGAGACACAGTCAAGTTTAGGGAGAAAATTCCAGATAGCTGAAGGTACAGTCGTCAACATTTGAGTCAAAGGGAATGCAGAATGCATAGGAGCCCAGAGTTGTAGAGGTGTATTTAGAGGGCTGGAAGATGTTATAGTCATGAGGGAGTGAAACCTAGGAGAGAATTGAACATAAGAATGCTCATTTTTTAAAGTGACGCACTATCGGATCTGGCGTGATACAAGGGTGATGGATGAGTGAGATACAGTGTGGGATGGAATAGCAGCTAAAACTTGGATGAATTCAAACTTATGGAGAATGGAAAATGGGAGACCAACCAACAGTGCATATAAATAGTCAAATCTAAAGGAACAAAAGTGTGGAAGAGAGTTTCATGAGTAGATAACTTGAGAAACAGCAAGTGACATACAATGTCACACAAGTGTAAGTAGCTGGTCTTTGCAATGTCGAGGGCTTGGAGTCAGAAGCCCAGCTCATGGTCAAGTTGGATAATGAGGTTGTGCAATTGGGTTTAGTCCAACAATAGCCAGGGAAGGGAATGGAATGAATGACTAGGAAAATGCTATTTGGAGCAGACGCCAAAGATTAATGCTTTGAATTTCACAATGCTTATATGAACAGTCGTAATGCCACAGAGGCAGACAATACTGTGCATCAGGTCCACGCTGATTCTCTGTAGTAGAACCCAGTCAGTCCCATTTCCCACTCTATACCTGTAAGCCTGCAAGTTTATTTCCATCAATTTCCTTTTGAAATCATTGCTCATCTCTGGATCTATCACCCTAGTAAGCAGTGACTCGCACATCATTACCAATGGCAGTGTAAAAAGTATTCTTCTTCATAAATATTGTGCCTCATCTGGGACTGCACGTCTGTCTACTAACCTGACATCTACCACACAAACATACTGGTGAGGTAAGGTAGAACATGTAGCTGTAAAATAAGATCAGGTGTACAATGGCTCTTTCAGGGACCTCCAGATGTAACAGAGCAGGGTGACAAAAGATGACACTGCAGAAATTCTCTGACTCCATTCGGATAAGTACGTGTGGAACCAGATGAGGAGAGTTCCACTCAACTAGACAAGAGAGGGGTTTGGAGGAGGATGTAATGGGATAGATCACTACACAAATCAGTAATTTGTGACGTTGATTAGGCCATTTTGGAGCAGTGTCAGGGGTGATAAACTGAGTGGACCAGTTTAAACAGGTAACTGCAAGAAACTTGGCTAGAGATTTGCGAAAAGACAACTCTTTCAAGGATTTGAGAGGAATAGGAGGTTGGAAATAGGAGAAAATAGTTTGCAACAGGAAAGTCAAAGGGTGGGAATTGTTTTGAGCGGTGATGTGTACTGCAGTTTCAAAATGGGGTTTGTGGGGAGAACATTATTTGAACATGAATGATTTACAATATCAGCTGGTTTAGGGGCTCAAGAGGAAACTGGGCAGTGGTAGTCTACAGGGAACAAATACCAGGGAGCAGAAGGTGGAACCAATGTACTTTCTAAGCTCTCTGAGCATGTGAATGCAATGCAGTTCAAAAGATTCGAGCATAGGCCTTTCTTTTCAGTACTTAGCTCATGTTCAGACTGTGCAAAGGAAAACTTAAAGGAACCACCTTTGACAAAAACAGTCTGTAAATTACTACATTTTAAAAGGGATATTAGGTGAAACTTGTGATAGGATTAGTGCTGGAGTTAGCTGTGTTTGTAATAAACAGATTCTTGATTTTTGAAGTGATGTATTACGATTTTTCTGAAATTTCAAATTTAAGGCAACTTAAAACTGAACCTTTTCTTTAAAAAGAAAGTATGCCTCTAGACAGGAATAGGAAGTGTACTGCACCCTTGGCATAACATCACCACTGCTTTACAGTCGCTATACCTTTATCATGCACTCAACCAAATACAGAAACTTAACTGGATTATTCCCTGAAGAATAGTAATGGAATTACATGAGAAGAATCCAACATACATTAGTTAGTCATTTTATAATACCAAATGAGTCCTTCAATTCTTTTTAATTAGACGTCTAGACACTGGTTAAAAAGCACCAGGTATATATAAACACTTACATATGTACAGTTGCCAAAGTATTACAGAATGTACATAGGCCAATAGAAACAACCTAAAAATAGTAAGGGTACAGATTCAGACTGATGTTATTCAACTCCATGTCATTTTAAGATCTGGTTTTCTAACATTAACAGTGTAGTGCAAACATCTTAAGCAAAATAACATTAAAATTTTCCTACAAAGGTGTGCTATATAATATCTGATAAGTACATCATCAGAAAGCAGTAACTGTCAACTGAACTGCAAAGCAACAACTGGCTAGAATCAAGAAAAATGTTCAAGTTCTGAGGTAGGTTAGAAAAAAAAATAGAAAACAGTTTATACAGCAAAATCTTGATTTGGCAAAGTTACTAAATCTAAGCCACATTGTGTAACAAAGACAGAATTAAAATGTCACAAGAGCTTCATTCGTGTGGCATCCTGAAACTAAATTAAACACTTTCCCAAGTCTGCATAACAGCACAGAGCCTTCAGTAAGCTCAGTTGCAAATTAAGTATAATAGAAAGAGTTTAACTTTCCAGCAGTGGACAACAATTGACACATTAGCAAAAATCCAGAACAAAGACATAGCGTTATTGCATGATCCGTCAAGGTATACCTTTGGGCCAATAATGGGTTAATGGCAACATTCAAATGGTGTACAAGGCAATGTTTGGGTTCTATTCATTTGCATGAGGAACATGAATCCAAGGTAGTTTAAAACATAACAATTGCCAAAAGTAAATACACATTTACTGAAGACTTTGTCTTGCACTCTTCAGGGCATTTCACAAGAAATATAAATGCAAAGGGCAATAACATTTTATATATAGAATAAGAAGAGAGTCTAAGAAGAGAGTCCTGATTGTCTGGAAAGTAGACTCTTTCCAACCAATCAGCATGCTCTTTTCATACAGTATAAAACGTTACTCTGTTTTACATTCTTGCGAATGGTTCTGATGAGTACAAGCCAACAAACTTTGACAAAATGTGTCTTTTTTCAGCAATGTTCAAATTTTGTACTACCAAACCAAAAGTTTAAAAGCAAAAACAAAATTTGCAAGGCAAACTTAAAGAAATTAAAACCAGTACAAAGCATTAGCATTTTTTACAATAAGAATCCCTTTTATTATAACAAGTCGCTTGTTTGCAAAGAAACAGAAATTTGCATTAGACTATTTTAATGATGTTTGTAGAAGCTGTCAATTGTTGAATTAAAGAGTGGCAGAGGATTCCAATGACTGGTTATAATTCTATGAGAACATACCCAAGGGTTTCATTCGTACTTCAAGCAAAATGGTTCTCGAAAGTTTTCAGATAGTACCTTTGGTGATTCAGCCACAATCGTCAAGGTAGTGTCAGCTTCAATCCAGAGGCTTTATGAAACTAGCTTATCTCAAGTGGGTGGCAATAAGGCTCTAAAATCCTCACAGTAAAAGGGGAAAATATCCAGGGTTCCCTTCCCTAACCAGTGGTGAGCCCCACTCCTGATGGAACTGCATGTATTGGTCTCAGACTAGTTTGGGATCAGATGAAATGCTCTTCACAGTCCAACAATCACAAGGCAAACACAACAAGGATCAAAGTCTCGAACTGAGGCAAAGGGGAGTGAAAAGAAAAAGTGGGACTAAAAACGCAAAGACTTTTAAGTCATGATATTCGAAACACACCAGTGGGATAAATATTGTAATGTACTTTTTTAATAACTTAATTATAATGTAAACACATATGCTTTTTCATAAGTCAACACAACCCTCCATTCATTTGTCCAGCTACACTGCAGAGAAGAAAATGCAGAGCTGATTCTCTGGGAAGAAAATGTATACTCTTTCAGCCAAGTGCGACTTTGTTCATCACATTCCTATAATAACCAGTCACCCTTTGGATCTGCAAAGTCACGTAAATGATGAACGAGCATCGCTGGCTTGCATTTTCATCTTCCTCCGAGCTAACGCTGCCAATTTCTTCTGTTCAATCTCTTGCAATGAGCATTTTGCTACTGGCTTCTCCATAACTGCACAAATGGAAAGCATAGCAAGAAATATCCTTTGGGACAATAGCATAAATGTATAATTTGCATTTCATATACCAGTTATATAAAAGGTCATATAAAAGTTAAGTTTAGCAGACAGAATTTTGAAATGATGAGCTGACATAGATCCCAGCCGTGCCTATTCCACCACTGGAAAACTGTACAATCCACTGTACAGAAGTTACTAAGAATTATATTCACCTGTCAAGTACCACCTTCCAGAACCTTAAAGAGCGGGTCCTTAATTTTGTCACCTCTGTAGAGCACTCCAATATCCTCAACCAGTCAGCCACCTCAACACAGTCCAATAGCAAACTGCATTCCATGCTATGTTGAATCCAACTTGCTCAATATTCTCACCTCATCCTCGTGATTTAGGCTAGTTACCTATGCCTCCATGGTATCATATTTAATTTAAAAACCCTGCCCTCACACCTTCCTCATCCTAACTTCATGAATCTCCTTCAGCTTTGCTGCCTCATTCGCCATAGTCCCATGTGTCACCTCGGAGACACTTGACTTTCTCCATAACTACTTTCAAAATGACTGGCCTCAGTTATTATGTCCCCCTTTTTAAAAGCAGGCATGTTTTACTGATCATCTACATTAAAAATGCCAGCACATGAACGGCATGTTTTCGGTGGCAACAGTGAATTCCTATTACTACAGTCACAATATCCAGACACATCCATGTGCCTTCAATGACTGAAGGATTAATTGCAATACTGGAAACTAATTAATGAGGAACTTTTTTAAACTATTGACCATAGATCAAAAGAAATTCGCAAAGTCTCAGGAGATTATCTTTCCTCATTTTGCGTCCCATTCAGGAATTCTTAGTGCCTGGGAGCACACATCCAAAATTCAGGCACACAACCCAATCTGAGTGGTTAGGCTCCTCAACGTGCAAATTCAGAAAATTATCACAACTCTAATAGTGTCTATCTGAAAATATTGTAGTGCTGCAAAACAAAACATTAGTTATCACAGATGTAACATAACAGGTCGAGTAACATTTTACCAGAATTGCACGCAAAATGTTGAGAACACTGTCTCACCTTTGGTCTGTAAAGAAGAATCAGAAAAATGTCTCTTTAGAGGTGCTGCTGGATATTGTGCTGCTGTGGAAAATGTACTTGACTGAACATTTCTTTCCATAGGGCTTTTCACATGATCTTTGTTGCCAGAAGTTTTTGCCCTTTGCATTATATGACTGCTGGTGTTTCCCAGAGTACCCATCACAGAAGAATTTGTAATTTTAGTGAAGTTAAACTGTGGAGTCCTGGGAGTGCCAGCAGTATGTTGTGATTTGGCAGCTGTGTGATTCACGGTTATAGTACATGTAGAAAGTTTGTGGCTATGGCCAAGGTTTGTACTGACTGAAGCCTGAAGCAAATTGGAAATGCCAGCACCAGTTCTAGAGCCAGGCACAAATTTGGATCTATTCAAATTCACTGCACACATGGTGGTAGTGCTTAACGAAGAACTATCCTGGAAACTGCTTAGGGAATTCAAATGATGGCTTTGCGTAGGGATTGTAGCTGCAGAACACACCAAGCATGTCAAATCTGTGGGCCTTAGCAAATGCTTCGTGGAAGGTGCATTACTTTGTTTTGCTAACTGTCCTCTAGAGACTTTGCTTTCTGATACGAGAGCAGACTGATCATAATTTAAATGCTTTTGCTGTCCCTCCAACCTTTCAGTAAACTGATTTTTTTGCATGTTCACAGACAAGATAGCATTGTTTGTTATACTCTGGCTGCTGTTTGCTATGTTTAGTCCGGCAGCCTCACTGATTATAGCTGTCCCAGAGTCCTGGCTTTGAATCAGCTTTTCTACATCATCACACATCCTGTTCAAATCATCATCATCATCACCAGTTTCCCACTGACTGTCCAATTCAGTAAACATATTCTGAATTTCATCAGAGAAGTTTTCATCATTCCAGTCGTCAGCTGGCACTGCAGCCGGAGCACTCTGCAGCGAGGTACCAACCCTCCTTGGTGAACCAGCACTAGAGGGTTTTCTAGATCCCAACTGATCAAGGGATTTGGCAAGCACTGAGCTGCTAGTGGAAACAAAGGAATCCTTTGTACTCTTCTGTGCACCAACACTGTACAATGTCCGTTGATTAAAAGGTATTGTGTGAGTAAAGGAAGTTGATTCTATTCGAGATCCGTTAAACAGATGAGTATTGCACTGAGGTCTTGGAACTTCAGAATTCCTCTGTTCATTTTTTATCAAGGCATTAACTACAGGTTTAAATACATGGCTTTGTTGAATTTTGTCACGAGGTGCCTGTTCACTCACCTTATCAATAGATTTGCTTTGTAATACAAATGTAGCCCTTGGCTTTGGTCTCTCAGATCCTTTTTCAAATTGCAAGGTTTTAGCTATCATTTCAAAGTCTTTAGGTTTGTGAACAGAACCATACACCTGCTGAGCAAATGACACAGATGGTACAATACCAGAGGCAGCCTCCAAATTGGTCGAAGCATTGAATTTGTTTGTACCATTTTGGTTAGCAGCATTTAAGGTGTGACTTGATTGGTTTGGGAGATGCTTGCATTCCTTGGGAGTGGCTATAAGTTCTGGGTTCTGCGTAATTTGCATTATAAAAGAGTCCTCTGCCATCCAGTCATCATTCTCCCAGTCATCGAATCCATCACCCTCTGGAATGGTTTCAGATGTGCAAACTGCTGCTGCCTTACCTATGAATTGGGCATTAGTATCTCTTTGCTGATCCAATTCACAAACTGTGGTGATGGCTTCGCAAGAAAAACCTTTGTCATGCTTGGAGCTTGCAGCCTGGTCAAAGAAAGTGCTGTTACCTGCATCAATTCCCAATGGCTTCAATGCTTGAAGGGCACTAGGTAGTTTACCAGTCAGACAGGAAGACATTGGATTGACTACTGCTGTATTAGTGCCTTTGTCAGGGTCTACACCACCTTGTGCAGGTGCGGAAATTACTTTGGAAACACAGGATTCCTCCAGTTTTGGACTTGAAGTGTCATTGCCTGAGAGGCCCTGGCTCAGAGGTCGACCAGTATGTTGGGTGGGTCCATCAAACAAGGCATTAACAGCAGCTTCAGCTTCTAAATCTAGTGCCTCCTGGCTACTATTCTGATTGTGTAGCTCAATTACAGGAAGGGTGCCGCCTGTACCATCTTTAACTGGCCCAGTGATTCCAGTCACAGGTATCTGTCCCAATGCTGGAAGGTCACAGTTCAGTTGTTCTGACCCTGGTGTCTGTTCCAAATCTGCACAACCTGAAGTCCAGTTAACTTCACTGGCTTCCTGACCATAACCAACATCCTGTTCCACCATATTTCGGTCAAATTCTTTTGCTAACTTCATCAGTTCTTCATCTGTGCTCCTTTGAAATCTAAAATGAATTTAAAAATTGTCAAATTCACACAAGCTACTTGTAAATTAAAGTGTTATGTTTTAAAAAGAAACATGGAATTTCTTTGCATGAACATTTTGCTTCCTATTTTAAGAACTTCATTAACAAACACCTTAAAATCAATAATAACAAGCCGCAAGTACATTCCCAAAGATGCCTAATAAAAGCTAAATACTGGGGATGCTGAAAATCTGAAATAAAAACGAAGTGCTGGGAAAACTCAGCAGGTCTGCCTGTGTTTGTGGAGAGAGAAACAGATTTTACATTTTGAATCCAATATGACCCTTCAGAATGTAAAAGTTAAAACATCAGTAGGTTTCTGCCAAAAGTAAAGTGGTAATTAATTGGCATCAGAAAAAGACTCTGATTTCTGAATCGAAGGTATTGAAAGAGGGCAAATTTGAACTTTTTTTATTCATTTATGGGATGCAGGCATCGTTGGCTATGCCAGCACTTATTGCCCATCCCCTATTGCCCAGAGGGCAGTTTCTCACATTGATAAGAAATTGATAGTTTATTAGATATTAAAGACATCATGGGATATGAAAAAAGCAGGAAGATGGTGTTGAGATAAAAGATAATTCAAATGGTAACACCAATAATGCAAGCAGGCATTGGAAAACTTACATTGTGCACATGCACTGCAAGTAACCAGATCTATACACTGGACGAAACTAGGAGTGAAGTATAAACTACTCATTTCAGTGGAGAAAGCAATCTCGCCTTGGGTCAATGCACATGGATAGATCTGTCCAAAGTACTAAAACCTGCACGTCTAAATCTTCAGAATAAAATTTCTAAACATTCAGATAAAGCATCAGAATTGGCCTATTTCCAGTTTATACCCGATTTCATTTCTTTCCCACGCCATATCAAAATAAAGTGATGCATAATATATTGCCAACAGACAGCACCCCAGCTAAAACAGTCGAGAATTTTAAACAGCAATTTCTATTTAAATGGCATCTTCAATGCAATGAAAAATGCCAAAGTATTTCACAGGGACAGAGCAACAAAAGGACACACAGGCCAGATACCAAAAGCTTGGTCAAAGAATACCTTAGGGAAGGAAGAAGCAGAGAAGTGGAGAGGTTTAGGAAGGCAGTTCTAAAGTGTAAGGCCAAGACAAACAAAGGCATAGACACTAAGAGTGCTGCAATTAAAATCAGAGACTCTCAAGAGGCCAGAATTCAAGGATTGCCAATACCTTGGAGAGTTATATGGCCCAAAGAGATGAGAGACAGGGAGGTGAATCAACAGTGATATGAAAACAAAAATGAGAGCAGCTTCAGATAATTTCATAAAAATTCTGAGAGGGCTTAGCAGGATTGATGCTAAGTGGACGTTCCCCCTTGTGGAGGAATCTCAAACCTGAGGGTACAGTTGAAAATAAGGGGTCTCCTATTTTAGATGGAGATGAGGAAGCACTTATTGTCTTAGAAGTTCTTAATCTTTGGAATTCACCACCACAGACAGTAGTGGAAGTTGGGGCATTGAAAATAGTCAAAGTAAACAGAGATTTTTAATCTATAAGGGTGTCTGCAAGCAGGAAAGTAGAGTTAAAGCCACAATCAGATTAGCCACAATTTTATGAATGATTTGGTAAGTTTGAGAAGTCAGATGGCCTCCTCCTGCTCTTATTTCTTACGTTAAAGTTCACAGAAGGTTAAATGTGGGAGAGCTCGTTCCAGGTATTTTTGAATAGTCACAGTTGAAGGTAAGAAAGGCATTTATGAGGTCCTGCAGATCAACTGAGGTAGTCCAAGAGTGTTCGGAGGTGGAAATAGGGGTTCATGCAACGTCGTGAATATGTGATTGAACCACAAGCCAAAATAGAGAATCAAGTTTGCAAACTGTTTGGTTCAACTTCTAGCAGTTGCCAGGGAGAGGAACGGAGTCGATGGTGACATTAAATTGAGAATATTGATCTGTTTTAAGCCAAGTCAAATTTGTAACACTCTGAACAGGTGAATGTCAAAGTGGTAACCTGCAAGTAAGGAAGTTTAGAGCTCTGTTTTTGAACTGAAAGTATTTCTCAGGCTCTTTCAAACTTCATAGCAGTTCAATGAAGGAATTATATTATTAAATCAATGCCCCCAGAAACTCAAGTAAAAAAGGTCAGCATCCACTGGAAAAGAAACGTAAAGCTCAGTGATTTATCTGACATGAAGTAGTTTCGTCCAGCTTTGCGAATAGCCAATCTTAGAATATTATTCAATGGTTGACATTAATTTATAATGGTTATCAATTTTGAGTGTCATACACACTCAGGTGAGGGAACATCATGTACACAATTTTCTTCCACTTAAACTTAACACATCTTTGCTGTAGACTCTCCATCAACGGTTATCAGGTACATGCTTCTTAGCGACTAATTCTGTTTATATCATCAGGATATTAAACAAGATTGAAATATGAACATTTCCTCTTGAATTCATTGAAATATTTTATAATCTTGAGCCATCATGACATTGGCAAGTAGTATTATCATCGAAAGCACAACATAAAATTGTTCAATAAATTCTGAATATGTCAACTTTAGCCAAGCATCATCATAAAATGCGAGTTTCCCATAATAAAGTGATTTGTACATAAACCTTTTGATATGAAAAGATATATATTTCTTTAATCAGTGCTTATGAAAATGTTTTATAATAAGAGCATGATAAAATTTGCATTATTTCTATATTTCTACAGTCTTGCAATAACCTCTATGAATTCTGAAAAGGAGTTTGCTTGCAGAACATACCTTGAATTACTTGCTTTGATCCTTTCTCGAAAAGAAATGGTGGGGCTACACTGGATTGCATCTTCACCCAGCCATACGTTCAGAGGCACTTCAGAGGATCGCTACACTTCCAAAAAAAAAGTTATTAATTATCAAATCACTTTACACACTTCTACCTCATTTAAATGTATTTCAGAAAACAAATAGTAAAAATAGGTAACAAGAACTTTACTTAAATCAGGATCGTTGCTAAAGGAACGTTGTAATTATGTACAGTGTGTCAAAGTAACTGAGATAGGTAATCCAACTTTGTTCCTCATTTGTTCATCTTCCAAAGATACTCTAGCATCATGAGTCAATACGGACAGGATTTTAAGGCTTATCCCTAACACTTTAACGAAAGCAGGGCAATGACAATCAACTGAAATCAAAGGCAACTGATAATAGCCCCTGGGTAGTCATAGTTCAGGAAGAATGAATTCCATCCGCTCATGAGCAACACAGCAAATTGCATTTCTTGATCCATTTAGCACATTACATCTGCCCCAAACTGTAATGATTAAGTGGTTAATTGAACCACATGAGTGATACATTGGAACTAAATAGACCAGCAAGCTACCAATACAGAGGTCAGGCAGCTTCCATGGAGAGAGAAAACCAGAGTTCAGATTTCAGGTCAATGATCTTTCACCTTTTTCAGAAGTAACTCTGAATAGTGGACACCAGCCGAGAGGCAATATAATGAGCCAGTTCCCCTAGGTTTGGGATGTGTGTCAATGACATTAAACAGTTCAGACTCAATCTAGTAGGTGGGTTCCTTCAAGCCCAAAGTGGACTAGGGTATACCCTTTCTGGTTATTTTGAGTAAACAACATGAAATTCATTATCATGTAATTATTTACAGGTTACATGAATACAAACTATATTGCCAGAGACTGTTAGGAGCACAGTAAGCTCTAAATCTGTTTCCTATAATCTCCTTCTTTACTCTGACCAAGTCTCTGCAACATCATCACAGTGGGTAATGCTTACAGCACTTAATCAATTATTAACCCTTTCAGAATCATGTCACAGTAAGTTTACAAAGCAGTTTGTTACCTGTGGAGCAATACGCTTTACAATGTCAGATATTTCCACTGCATGTTGCCCAGCCATAGACTTCTTTTCAGTGCCTGCATAAACAAAAATGAGAAGCTATATTTCATTAGACTTTTATTTTATTCAAATTCTATTATTTATTTTCAATAAGGTCAACAAAACAAAATCTATTTTAAAAAAAGCACAACAATTCAAACAAGCTGGGCTCTAGTGTTTTGTAATGTATCGGTAAAAATAAAGTGATTCCACACAATTTTAAACTTGTTAGCCTAAAGTCTATGCTGTGGGGTGCTGATAGACAAATGCTCAACACCTTGGTCACAAACTGTTCTCAAGTATTTTAGCAAAGTCATTAGTCCGTTTAAAATGAAACAGGGGCCAGGTTCTGCAGTGGGCTTTACAAAACCATTACTTGGCCTTCCGACTTGAAATAGCATCCCATACAAGTATAAGTCTTTCTGCTAGAAAAAAAATTCTGTATAATATATAACAGCTTAAAATAATAGATGTGTTGTCTTTAAAACGTGGCAGTAAGTGACAGAACACACCAATATTAACGGCTGAGAAAGTAAAGTATATAAAATTGTTGTTAGCAACCATTCATGATAGACAATACGTAGTCACTTTTGTGCAGTGACCAATCAAGACCTAAACATGAAGTGTTAGACAGGCGCGACAAAGCAATGAGAAATATATCAAACTGGAGTCAAGAACAGAAGATTGAATAAAATGCAGCAAAATGTACAAAGGATTTTTCAATGGTCAAGTTTCGATATCCGACAGTGTGTTACGTTACCTAATTTAAAATTGGTTGGAGAGTGTTGGTCCCAATAAATATCCTGTTGTAACTCATTGTCATTGACAGGGGAATTGTGGTTTGCAATGAGCTGTTGTTTTTTCAATATCCTCTTAGGAGTTTTATTTGACAATATTTCTGAAAGATAAAAACAGAGGTTTAAATATGGTGCAAAAATTGGGACTGCAGTTAAAAATAACTATGCTTAGGAGAGGCTATTCGCCCAATTTAGATAGAACATTTATTTAGGATGGAAATATGAATAACTTTACAAAGAAACATGGGAAAGGACATCAACCACAGAATAACAAAGTAATATCTGAAATAAATAAGTATCTACTTACAAATAATTTTGTAACTTTTTATATAGTGAATTTGGTATGCATTGTTGATTCCCAAGAGATGAAATACTTAGGGGAGAAATGTTCCACTTAGGCAGTATAATTCACTATTCCAATTTAATACCACTATCATTACAATCTAACTACTATCTGCACACAAGATGACCTGCTACCTTCCGAAGATTCGCTAATAAGAAACATTCAAATAAACCTCTCACACTAAGGGAAATTATTCTTTTAGTTATTAAATATTAAAAACTATCAAAAACTATCTTCATGGGCACTCCCTGAGGAATGACAAGATCCAAAGGGTCCCAAAGAATCAGTCTCCCTGGTGTAAAGTGCATTAATCTCAGCCATGAAGCACAGGTGCTAAAGCACTGAATGAGGAAATGAGTAGTTTGCGATCCGAATCCTAATTACCAGCCCACAGACTCCTGCTTGATGTGCTCACGGGAATGTCAGCAGAGGCCAGGAGCCTCGATGGTGCTGGCCAACTTCACCCTTCTCAAATAGGCTGCCAATAACCACAGGCATGTGTGAAAAATAGGCACAGAGTATGGTAAAGGACAGCATCCGAGCACAGTGAGGAGCCACTGGCTTCAAAGATTGTAGACAGCAAAACTAATGGAGAAAACGTATATTAATATTTTTTTGAGAAAATGCCTGTGCTCTCAGAATTGCACGTTCAACTTTCCATGTGCAATCCTAGATCAAAGTCAATACATTCAAAACGTCTGAATTTCATCATTTTTAGCATTGAATTGCTACACATATTACTGCTGAAAACAACTGTAGTAGTTCTCGTTTTAAGGCAAAAACCAACATTTCTACTGGATGAGTGTAAATTGTTTGCCAAGTGGACTCTGCTTGGTAGAGTTGTTGCTGTGGAAATGTTAACAGCAAATAATGACTGACATTTAATTGCCAAATTTTGTTTATATTTTAAATCAGGTAGGTGGATTCAGAGATAGTAGGAACTGCAGATGCTGGAGAATCCGAGACAACAAGGTGTAGAGCTGGATGAACACAGCAGGCCAAGCAGCATCATAGGAGCAGGAAGGCTGGCGTTTCGGGCCTAGACCCTTCATCAGAATTGGGGGAGGGGAAGGGGGTTCTGAAATAAATAGGGAGAGAGGGGGAGGTGGATAGAAGATGGATAGAGGAGAAGATAGGTGGAGAGGAAACAGACAGGTC